CATACCTTTAAAAGATATGGTGTCTCTACAAGTGTCTTTCATTCACCTTGCCAAGAAGTGCTATTCAGATCATGTAGACTGTGTTGATAATGGAGCTAGAAACAATAGTGGAAATATTTAATAAGCAAAATCTGGAACATACTGATATCAGCAGTGCAATTTCAAAGGAACTCACAAGGCTGTTGAAGATATCTGTTGGTACCTCTAACACTTTAACAGTTTTGAAGTTAAAACATTTTCATCTCCTCCTTGAGTATTTTGACTATGAGTTCAGAAAGAACAAGAGTTACTAAATGCTTAGTAATGCCTGGGATCATAGCACAAATTGTCTCTCAAGACCAGGAAGATGCATTCATGAATCTAGTATCTATATTCATTCAGAACCAAGCAAGTAAACTTGTAGAAGACTTTGTTGATGATCAGAACTTCATGAAAAGACTCATTCATCTTTGCAGTCAGGTGCCATGATCAGTAGTACTGGATTTGAAACAGAGAATGAAAATACCCATCTACTTCACATTCCCTCCCACGGTATTTGCAGCGTATCAGTTGGCTTTTCAATACAAAGAAAATTCCAAAGTGAATAATAAATGGGAAAATAAGTGACAGATTTTTGCATTTGTACATCAGACTGAGTTTGAATCAGAGCAGAACTGGCAGACCTGCCTGTACAACTCTTCCTTCAATGAGTATGAGCTGCTGGAGAAATTAGTTCTGAAAATGATGAAACCATGAGTCATGAATTGATGCACCAGGCATTTGCTCTGTAGGAAGATGAAATCAGTAGTTCTGAAGCACAACTGGCTACCATCCCCTTGATCAATGGAATGTGAAAGAGTTTGAAGTGCTTCAGGGAAGAGAACCATGAACACTTAAGGACTCAGTGGACACGTGCTATTTCCAAACTATTGTTTTAATTTTTTGTTTTCTTAGTGTTTTTTCACACTTTTTTTTCATTTTGAGTTCTCAATTTTCTCCCCCCTATCACTCCCTCCCACTCATTTAGGTGAGAAATATTAATATTAAATATTTTAAAAATTATACATGTGATATCATGCAAAATGTATTTATATAGTAGCCATGTTAGAAAAAAAGTAAGAAAAATAAAGTGAAAAAAGTATGCTTCAATCTGCATTCAGAGTTCATTAATTCTCCCTCTGGAAGTAGAAAGCATTTTTCATCATGGGTTCTTTGCAATTGTCTTGATCAGAGTATCTAAGTCTTTCACAGTTGATCATTATAATATTGCCGAATGGGTGTTACCTCACTGAAAGTGAGAACCTGAAAAGACCTTGGCTTAAAAGGGCCAGGGTCCCCCATTACATCCTGGGCCATGTCCAGTCATCCTGATGAGTATCTGACCACTGGACCCAGATGGCTGTGGAGGAGAAAGTGAGGCTGGTGACCTTGCATAGCCCCCCTCACTCAAATCAAAGTGAACTGCAACTCATGTCATCATCTCCCTGATGTCATGGTCCTTGTCCTCCTATTTTTATAGACTTGGTTCAGTTCATATTTGAGAAATGAGGCCTTTTTCAGAGAAATCTTCTACAAAAATCCTCTCCCCTCCCTCCCGTTTCCTGTTTTCCTTCTAATTTTGGCTGCATTAGTATTGTTCGTGCAAACGCCTTTTCAATTTCACATAGTGGACGTTATTTACTTCCTGTAATCCTCTCTATCTTATTTGGTCATAAAGTCCTCCCTTATCCATAGATCTGACAGGTACATTTTAAACATTTCCCTTATTTGCTTATATCACCCTTTGTGTCTAAATCATTTATCCATTTTGACCTTATCTTGGTATATACAGTGTGAGATTATGGTCTATGCCTAGTTTTTGCCAAACTGCTTTCTAGTTTTCCCAGCAGTTTTTGTCAAATAGTTTTTTGTTTCAAGAGCTTGGGTCTTCGGGTTTATCAGTCAATTACTGTGGTTAATTTATTCCTCTGTATTGTGTACCTAATCTATCCCACTGATCCACTACTCTATTTCTTAGCCAGTTTTTTCATGATTACCGATTTGTTTGAAATCTTGTACTGGGAGGCCATCTTCCTTCATATATACATATTTTTCACTGATTCCCTTGATATTCTTGACTTTTTGTTCTTCCAGGTGAATTTCATCATTTTTTCTAGATCGAAGAAATAATTCTTTGGCAGTTTGACTGCTATGGCCCTGAATAGGTGAATTAATGTCATATATTGGCTTAGCCTACCCACAAACAACATTTCTTCAATTGTTTAGATGTCTTTATTTCGGTGAAGGGTTTTGTAATTGTGTTCATATAATCCCTGGGTTTGTCTTGGCAAATGGACCCACAAGTAGTTTATATTGTCTGCAGTTACTTTGAATGGAATTTCTTTCTATGTTCCTGCTAGGCTTTGATGGTAATAGAAATGCTAATTTATGTGGGTTTATTTTATATCTTGCAACTTTGTTAAAGTTGTTTCAACTAATTTTTCAATTGATTCTCTAGGGTTTTCTATCATATCATCTGCAAAGAGTGGTACTTTTGTTTCCTCACTGCCCATTCTTATTTCTTCAATTTCTTTTTGTCATTGCTTATAGCTAGCACTTCTAACACAATACTGAATTATAGTGGTGACAATGGATATCATTGCTTCACCCCTGATCATACTGGGAAGGCTTCCAGTTTATCCTCACTACAGATAGTGCTTGCTCTTGGTTTTAGATAAATACTAATTTTCATTTTAAGAAAGGCTCTATTTATTCTTATGCTGTCTAGTGTTTTAATAGGAATGGGTGTTGTATTCTGTCAAACTTTCTCTGCATCTATTCAGATAATCATATTTTTGTTGATAATGCTTATAGCTTTCCTAATATTGAACCAATCCTACATTCCCATTACAAATCCCATGTCATCATAGGATCTTTGTGATACGTTGCTATAATCTCCTTGCTAGTATTTTAAAATATTTGCATCCATGTACAAAAATATTCATAGCAGCTCTTTTTGTGGTGGCAAAGAATTGGAAATTGAGAGGATGCCCATCCACTGGGGAATGGCTGAACAAGTTGTGGTATATGAATGTGATGGAATACTATTGTGCTATAAGAAATGATGAACAGGCCGACTTCAGAAAAACCTGGAAAGACTTATATGGTCTGATGCTGAGTGAAGTGAGCAGAACCCAGAGGACTTTGTATACAATAGCAGCTGCGTTATGCAATGACTAGGAATGTTAAACTGAACTCTTCTCAGCATTACGAGGATCTAAGGCATCTCCAGAGGCCTTGGGATGGAAAATGCTGTCCACATCCAAAGAAAGAACTATGGGAGTCGAATCGCTCTCACTTATTTTTACCTTAAGTTGAATTTTGTTTCATTTTTCTGATGGTTCCTCCTATTGGTTTTAATTTTTACTTACAACTTCACTAATGTGAAAATATGTTTAATGGGTATGTAAATGTAAAGCCTATGTCAGATTGTGCACCGTCTTGGGGAGGGTGGGGGGGAGAAAAAGGGAGAAAAAATTTTCAACTCAAAAGTATATGGAAAAAAAAATTTAAAAAATAAAATAAAATATTTGTATCAATATTCACTAGTAACTGACCTATAGTTTTCTGTTTTTGCTTCCTCTGGTTTAGGTTTCAAAACCATATTTGTGTCATAGAAGAAATTTAGTAGGATTCATTCTTTACCTTTCTTCAAATAGTTTATATAGTATTAGAATTGTTCTTTAAATGTTTGGTAGAATTCACTTCTAAATCCATCTGCTCAATTGTTCTCTTCCAAGAGGTCTTCCTCCTCCTCCCAATGACTTTGTATTTGCTTATGTGCTGTATCCTCTCAGTAGAATACAATTTCTTTTGGGGCAGGGGCAGGAACTGTCTCACTTTTCAATTTACATCCTCAGCAACTGGCACATAGTGGGCACTTAATGCTTGACTGAAGGGTCATTTTTTTTCTCCCTTAAAGACTGGGGGTCCCTGAGCTCTGCTTAGAGAACAGCAAATAAAACAAAACCTTTCCTGACAACATACTTGACAGTGAAGGGCCCAAGGAAACAGGCCAACTACAGATCCTGATCCCATAAGATCAACTTGGTCTTCCATGGCCTCATTCTTAGGTCTGTTAAGTGGATAGGTCTGTGGATATCAGCTCACCTAGGGGGCAGAAGTGAAAGTGGATGCCACAGAAATACTCAGACAATTCTACCATTGACCAGGCTACTGGCTGAATAATAGGCAAGGATACCACTCACATAACCAGGTGGTACTATGCTACCTGAGCGCACAGTAGCACAGGACGGCATCAGGGTCAGGGTACACATCATACATAATGTTAGTCTAGACCTGTTTGTGACCGATATACTTGGTTTTTACTATGTCCATTTGATGCGGTAGTATGTACCTCCTCATGACCTGGCAGAAACCTGGGATAAAATGCCTGTTATTTATATGAAAAAGACCAGGAAGAGGTAGAAGGGTAATCACTATCACCTAAGTAGCTTCTGTAAAAACTAAGGCTTCTGAAATATTAGTGTGAATTGCAGAGAAAAATGGTGGGACTGAACCCTTTGGATTTAGAGTTATAACTGAATCCTGCTCATGGCAGAAGTGTGGAGGAGGCTGCAGGCCTCCAAGATGGTACAGCTTCAGCATTCAAAAGAGAATGCCCTGAAATGAACAGCAATCCTCAAAGACCCTGGCCAGTGGTTAGGCTCTGTTTGAAGCCATATAAAGACTGAGGGTGGCTTCCTGAGGACAATCCTCATTTTTGCTCATCTGACCAAGGGCCCCCCTCAAATGGAGTTATCTTCCCCTCATTGATAAAGAACCCTTAGGGGACCTAGCGAACTGGAGCTCTCTCTTGCCTTATCAGATGAGGTACTTGCCAAAATCAAAGCTATATGTTTATTTCCCTTTGGAATTTCCTGAAGGTGAAACTATCCCTGCTCTCCTTTCTTGGTGCTCCACTGCACCCTTGAAGGCTCTTTGAGTATCTGCTTACCTAGCATATGAAGCAGCCCCAGGCATCAACTAGGAATTCAGTTTATTAGATAATTCTGAATTAACTATGAAGAATTGCATATATCCTTAATTCTGCATCTAAGAGGAAGTAATGGGGCCAGGAGATGTGGGGAAAAGGCAGAGCTCTTGTGTCCACCCCAAAGTCATGCCATTACTCTCCGACCCTGCTAGACCAGGTAGCAAAGCCCTGCTTATAAGGAAGCAATGGGCTCTGGGAACCAAGGCAGAGTGGGAAAGAGGACTGTCAGCAGACCTAAAGCACAAGCCAAAGGCATGAAGGGGAAGAGTTGTGAGGAAGGGGGAGCCTTGGATACACTAGGAGCCCAACTTGGCTAGACCACAGTATATGAGTGTATGGGGTGGGGGGTGGGGCGGAATGTGATTGACTGAAGAAAGGGTCCCCCCAACTGGGGCCTAACTATCCCACCACCTGTTACATTCCGTTTCCAAGAGAGCTGGAGTGATCTGGAAAAAGTGCAAGAAAGGTTTCCTGGAAGGAGTAAGGCACTAGGGGAAAGAGCCTGAGAACTCTGCGCATGCTCAGGGAGAGGAGCAGGTGCCAGGTGGGCCTCCACTCCCATCTCAGCTCAAGCCTCTCTCCCCCTCATTCAGGTGGCTTTCTCCAGGGGCCAATCAATCCAGGGGGGGCCTGAACAGACGGCCCACCTGGGCAACTCACCAGGCCAGGCCTGCTGTGAGGTAAGGAGGGAGAGAGAGAGAGGCAGCACAACAGCTCATTGGGTGCCCACTGTCCGTTGAGGGATGCAGCCTTCGAGCTCCAGTGCCTCTGGCCAGCCCTCATACTTGTTGGTGTTCTTGCTGTTCTTCACATGCTGTGGGGCAGCCATGAGGAAAGAGAATGATGAAGAAGGAAGGAGGAGGAGGAGGCCCTGCTGCCAGGGGGCCATTCAGCAGGTGAAGGCACAAGGCTGGGTTCTCTCCATGGCAATCCAGACACTTGGACTGTCATTGCTAATTAGGGGGAGGGAGGCAGGGCAACTTATGTTACCCTCTCTGAACCGGTTTCCTTCTCTGTAAAATGGGCTTCACTTTGGCCTACTTTCTAGGGGAGTTTAGGAGTTGGGGAAGAGGGGGAAATCTATTCCCTTGGGCCCAGACTCTGTCTACGGTGGGGTAGGCCCCCTGGCCTTAAGGGTGAACCAAAATGAAAGATAACACTGTCCACCTTTCCCCACTTAGGGTCATTCTAGGGGGGAGGACCCTACAGACCTGCTCAAAAGGGCTCTTGTCCTGAACTCCTTTGGCACCAACAAACACCCAGCTGTCCCGAAAGGCCAGTTCCTTAGCATTTGTGCTGCCTAGCTCACTGAAAATTTTCCTGGTTTCATCATTCATCCTGCAGCAGAAAAAAAAAAAAGGAATCTGAGGGGTGGAGATGGGGAACGAGGCTGCAAGGAGGGAAAATAGGGGTGGAGAGGTGGAGTCAAGAACTTGGATCAGAAGCTTCTTACTTGGTGGCTGGGTCATCATAGGAAGCCACAAACACTAGTGTCCCTTCATGGAGTGGCCGGATGAACTTCAGTAAATCATTGACATCTAGAAAGGGAGAAGAGCAGAGATACATGCAAGATAACATCTGAGCTCTAGCTCACGGACCTTGGAGGTCACTAGTGCAGCCTCCTACTAGAGAGGGAAGGAAGTGACATTTGGATGAACCCAAGACCAGAGCAAGTGGCAAAGGCTAGACTTGAGGCCAGGCCTCTGGGCCCTTCTTGGTGCTCCCGCTCTCCAGAAGCTCCCTTGAGGAACTTTTCTACCACAGTGACGTGACTGCTCACACCCTTTGCCATCCCATCCCACTGTTCTGCATGTGCACCAGGATGCCAGAGACACAGGCCCCATATATACACGTTGCTATCACAGAAGCACTTTTATGGTGGCAGAGAACCAGAAACAATGAGGGCACTGCGGTACCTAAATTTAAAGGCGCCTTCAGCAGCAAGAGACCATAGTTCTGAGATTTGTGTGAGCTGACAGATCAAAGTGTACAGAGCCAAAAGAATACTCAATTACCAGAGGAATGGATCAAAGATCTCAGGAAACTGAGCTCTGAACAACTGAAAAACCCAATAATGCTTCCAAAGAATATACAGTGACACTCATGTCCCTTTCTCTTGGCTGAAGATGGGGGCAATTAGGGCAGAATGTTGTCTATGCCGGCAGGTGATAGTCACTGTGTGCCTTCACTTAACTGCTTTTCTATGTCAATTGCAAAGAGGGGGAGAAGGGACTTTTCTAGAAACTACTGTGATGTAAAAACTAAAATATAAATGTAAAAACTATTATGATGTAAAAAAAAAAGGCCATCAGCAAAATGTATTTTCAAGAACTGGCTGTCTTTGTCCAAGGAATCCAAAAGGAAAGACAAAGAGACAGTGTGGGGCAATCTCCCTTCCAACCCACCTAGAGCTCCTAAAGGAAGGATGGTCAGAGCTATCTATGGAAGTGAGGGCTGAGAAGAACTCAGGGCTGGTCTCACTTGCTCTGGTCTTGCTTACCTCCAGCCCACATGTCAAAGGATCTGGCCTCAAGGAGTTCCCCATTCACTCCTGCAATGGGAAGGTGGTAGGGTTAGGGCATAGGACACCCCTGAGGGTGTCCACAAACACATCCCTGCCTCCCCCAAGGGGAAGCAGCCTATGGCCAAAAGGCTTGAGGGACTCCCAAGGCCAAGTGGAAATGGCCAAGACTAAGACTAAGAGCTAATGAGCCTTCAGAAGATGTGTGGGGCCCAGGTTTTAGACCTCTCTCAGGAGAGCTCAGCAGCAAATACTTGGGAGAAACAAATCTTTACTGTGGACACTGGGGGAGGGTAGGAAGAAGAGACATCCAGGATTGTCAAAGGCAATGGTCAGAGCTCTCTTGGCAAACCATATCCAATACAGCTAAGGAATAGCTGTGGGTGGACCTGCTAATCACTAGGGCCAAATGGAAGCTGGCATGGGCTGAATGTAGTTTTTCTAGGATGGTGATACAGCATAGTCCAGGGACAGCCTTTGGAGAAGATTCTAGAACCCTGTCATCTGTTCCTGGCCTAGAACCCTCTAGACAATCCCCTTTTCTCTCCAAGTCAGGTCCTTTTCATTCCTAAAGGCTAAGCTCAAAAGCCATCTCTGGTGACCCTGGTATTAGAGAATCTTCCCATCCTTGGAGTTGACTGGCTCACAGATCCCATTCTGCCTTATAGTCAAGGTCATTCATGTCCAAGCCCACTACTAGCCTGGGAGTTAGCTGGGAGAGGCTGCCCCCTCTCAGCACAAGGGAAACTTGAAGGCCTGACCCCAGTTGGCACTTAAAGAATTCAATCAAACTCAATTTTATGAAATATCTACTTTGTGCGGACTGGGGGCCAGTCTCTCCCTTCTCCTAATGGAGCTTAGTCTAATAAGCAATTTCTTTGTTTCTGCACCTATTAGACTGGGAGCTCCTTGAGGGCAGGACAGTGCTTTTGCCTTTCTTTGTATCCACAGTTTAAAGGGCCATCTCCAGTCGTCCTGATCTATATCTTGCCACTGGACCCAGATGGCTCTGGAGGATAAAGTGAGGTTGATGACCTTGCACAGCCCTTCCTCACTCAAATCCAATTTATTTGCAAGTCATGGCATCACCTTCCTGACGTCACAGTCCTCTTCAAGAATGAAGGGCAAACAACAATCCCTAGTTTAGACCAGTGCCTGGTACTTAGCAGGGGATATATACATATATATATATATATATATATATGTATATATATATATGTATATACACACACACACACATATATACATATATAGATATATAAAAAAAATGACAACTGAACTATGTCAGTGGCAGGGAAAAGAAATTAGTCCTGGATTTTTTTCATGGGATCCAAGAACCAAACAGCAGATTAAGAGCTAGTTGGAAAGGAAAGGAGACAGCAAGGTCTGGAGGGACTCCACTCATCCTCCATGGTCCCACAATGTTAGGATCATGTCAGCTAGGAGGGGCTACTGAGAGCCTCTTCCCTACAGCAACTCTGCCTTATTTCTCACTACTGGAATTATTTGTTAGGGCGGACCCTACCCCCAATCCAATCTTTTGGTTGACACCCTATTTGCTACTTTACACTGTGATTACCAGGCTTTGAAAACTATGCCTCCAGCCCCATCCTCATTTCCTAGGAATCAAGCAGAGGGTGTACTAGGGCTGTCAAGGAGAAAGGGAATGAGGACAAGGCAAGCCATTCCTGAGATGGGAGAAAGGAAAGGGCTTCAGAGCTCTGATGAGATGAGGATGGAGAGGAAATGGAGAAATCCCAGCCTCATTTGGTCTTTGCCACAGTCCCCAAAGGGGAAGGATTAGCACAGCAAGGGCTTGGAAATCACGTGAATTATGCTGATCCCAAGGGAAGATGGGACCTAATTTGTTCTGCATTTTAAATAAAGCCTATCCTACACCCAGTGTCTTGTTAGCCCAGAGCACTGGAAGGGTAACTGAGGGCCCAGTGGAGAAGAAGCAAAACAAGCCAGACACCAACATTCCTAAGGCCATCCTGGAAGAGTGCAACAGCTAGAAAGATTTTGAGAGAAACCTTCCCAATTTTAACTGTGCCAGAGGCAACAGCCCAAATGAGACACATGAAGTATCATTTGGGGCAGCAAGGGCATGCCTTAGACACAGGAAAATAAGGAAAGCAAACTATTTGGGGGCTCTCTCCCTTCCACAGGAGATGGGGTGGGGACTCCTTTCTCATTCTCTCTTTCTAGGTCCATGTAAAGGATCTGTTCCCAGAGCCTGCCAAGTCCAGAATGGAGTGGGCTATGGACTCACCATTCACCAAGGCAATGTTCAGCCCACGTCCGACATTGTCCTTTACACTGCTCATTAGCCTGGGGAACAGAACGGTAACACCTATGATGGGGGACTAGGGAGAGAGAGGAAAAAAATCTATTCCTCTCTCTGCCCCTTGACTCTCCCCACTCTGGGCACCATTCTCCCTCTCATCCATCACTCCGCCCTCTTCTTCCCACCACCCCAGTGAGTTGTCCCTCAATTTTCTCACATCTTATCCTCGAGGCAGATCTTGGGTCCGATGACATTGGCGGCCCCACTGACCACACGAAAGGCCAAATGCTGTTCGGGACATGGCTGGGGCAGGCCACACTTATACTTCCTGGCCCGGGGCTCTGGGCAGAGACAGTGGTGCAGTGTGATCAACTACAGGGCTCAGGGACAAGGAGCAGTGATGCCTACTCAGCTGCCCCAGCCTTAGCAGCCTCAACAGGGCCATGATCCATGGCAGGTGCTGGCAGCACCAGGAGCAGGAAAGCAGAGGAGTCAGGGAAAAGAGAGTGCCAGCAAAAAAGATACCCCCGAACACAGGAAAGACCTGGAGTGGGGGAGGTAGCAGGCAGGCCAGGAGACTTAAGGGAATGAAAGGTAGAAAAGGGAATAGTGGGGAAGTGGAAGGGGGAGGTGAAGGGGCTAGGCCTGGGCAGGATACTGAGAGGAAGAGGGTGCTGACTGATCCCTGCCCAAAATTCCTTGGAAGCTGGCCTGCTACTTCTGATGAGGTGACACAGCTGGATGAAGGAGACTCCCACACCCCTGTCCCTCTGCCCCCACCCCTGACTGGGTTTGTTGGAGGAGGTCAAAGCTCTCTCTGTGCCCCATCAAACTCACGCAAACACACTCACTGTCATGCCTGGCAGGGCGGCTGGCCTCAGGGCTGGGCTGGACAGACCACAGGGAGAAGGCCCTTTCTGCTACTGACAGGAGAAGAGAAACGGGGAGAGGGGGAAGTAGGGACAGCAAGAGAGAGGACAGGATGGGACAGTCCGTGAAACGGTTAGGGTAGCACTAAAGGCAAGTAATGACTGGCAGCAGGGAACCAGATGACAGGCAGTAGGGGCCACAGGGCACAAGCAGAGAAAGGCAGGCTAGGAGGCCACAACCGTGTACATCTATTCTGCCCCACCCTCAAATCCCTGGACAGAGATGGCAGGTGGAAGAAGAATGGTCATGTGAAAAGCAGGCTCCCAGTACACCTCTCAGCTCTGCCCTTGATGCGTCTGGACCTGTTCCCTCCATAAAGAAATCAAAGGACAAGATGCCTATTTAGGGGCACAAGAGGAAAGAGAATCATGGCTTCTCACAGACCAGCACCCCAAAAAAGACCAATTCAAAGAGTCTCCAGGGGCCTTTCCAGTATAACTGATGTGGGCAAAGCCCCTGGTCTCAGCCCTCCTTGTGCCAAGAGAAGTGAGAACAGTTTCCTCCCTCCCTTTCTAGCCATCCATTAAATAAGTGCACCCTCCATTAGCTCACTGGGGCAGAGGGGGACACTCCTAGGGCACATGAGAAGATTGTGCAGGGAATCTGAGCTACCACCACCATGCATTACAAGAGAAGGAATGCAGGGAAAGGGGCACATACCTACCTGTTGTCACTGCATTCTCAGGACCTGCGGAAGAGGGGAGAGAGAGGGAACAGCGTCACCCCAAATAGGAGTGGCCCCTCCCCTTGTCTGCTGAAGAGCCAGCATTGCTCCCCTTCCCCAGATTATACAGCATCCCCTTGTGGAGGCTAAATATAAGATGCACTGACTCACACATTTTACTCAGGTCCTTGAGCACAGCCTTATTAATCTCATTTGAGACACATTCAAAATGACTTGTTTAGTTAGTTCCCTAGGCCCTGTCAGATTGGGGATAGGGACTAGCCCTGGGATTTCAGTGATACAAGGAACTCTCCCAAAACGCTCTCTACTAATGCCAGTCAACACTTTCTCTTCAACTCAGTCTTACAGAGTTGCCTAGAGAAGTAGACATTACAAATTAGAATGTGAAAAGGAGGTTGTGCTGCTACCTGGGAGCTGCACATGTCCAAGTGTCCAAGGAGAGAACCCAATATTTCAGAAGACAGGAAAAATGTAGAGGGCCTCATTTTCACCCCTGGCTAAGGGGCTGGGCTTAAATGAGCTACATAAGCAGACCCCAGGGGAAAGGGAAGGGTTCAAGAGCAAGACAGCATGCACTGTAGGGAGGAGGTGCACTCACTACTGAAGAGCTGCTGTAGCCGAGAGAAGCTGCTTCCATGTGTCCCCAGGAGAATGCTGCCCAAGATCCAGGTGAGGCCGGCAGTAAGAATCAGTACTACGATGCGGAGGGGGCCTGGAGAGATCCAGAGAGAGCTGCTTAGGGGCAGGAGGAAGGCCCTAGGGCCAGAGCAGTAACAGAGTCTGAAGTGAGCTCCAAAGTCCTCTAGGCCAACCCAAACCTAAACAGGGATCAACCTCAACCAGTGCTAAGTCTCGTCTTGAAGACTTCAAGATGTGCAGAAATCATTTTACTTTCAGACTCTGGCATAAAGTTTCTCTTTATATTAAATAGAAATCTGCCTTTCTACAGCCTTCCCCCTCTCCCTCCAGTTCTGCCCTTGTAGAACAAGGCCAATCTCTTTGCTACCTCAGATACTTGAAGACATAGATCCTATCTCTTTTCCTTTTCTTCAGGTTAAACATCTCTAATTTCTCCAATGTATCTGGGCTTGGACAGTCTAAGCCTCAGCCCCTTTGGCATCCTGGCTGCCTCCCTTGGAGCAGCTGGTTGGTGTCTTTTTGGGAGTGTTACACCTGGAAGTGAACACAGGATTCCAGCTGTGGTCAGAGCACAGGGACTATCCCCTCCCTTCCTCTGGCCACTGTCCATCTGTCATGGAGCCCAAGAGCATACTGCTTTTGGGGGCTGCCACTTACCCTGCTCACCTGATATACCCAGAGACACCCAGGCCCGCCTTTAGACACACAAATGACTCTTTTACCATGCCTCCCACATTCTGCACTAGATTTTTGTGAACCTAAATGTAATAACATCCTTGAGAGATTTCATCTTATTCAAGCAGAACCAAATACACACATACACCCACATCCCTCCCACACAAGTGCCAATAATGCAAATGGAAAGAAAACAAGAGAAACTCCAAAGTACTGCATAAGTCTAATTATTAAGCTTGGCCCCAAAGAGAAATTAGAAACACCTCTCTCTCTCCTTCCTTCCCTGCACAACAGAGTGGGGGGATTATAGGTGGGAACTATGCTCATACTGTCAGACTCAGTTGATGCATAGATTAGTTTAGCTGAATTGCTTCTTCCCCTTTCTTTTTTATTCTTGTCACAAGGGATGGCTCTCTTCAGAAGGGAAAGGAAGAGAGGTACATTTGGAAACAAAAAATGATATAACAGTAAAAATCACCCCTCCAAATTTCATCTTATTTGACTAGCACTTTTTTCAGGCTGCCAGGATCTCTTTTGTGTTCCCAATTTAGGCATCTGTTGCATTTCAAATGTCACCTGACAGCCATTCATTGCACAAGCATTTACTACAAATTCTCTAGAGAAGCATGCCAGTCATGAATCTGTGGACAATGAGCTTGAAAGCACTTTCCAGGGCTTAGGAAGGAGGGAGAGAGAGCAAAAAGAAAGACACTTCACCCATAATGGTTTGAATTAGAAAAGTTGAATAACTGAACAGAACAACCCTGGGGGTATTAATTTTTGTTTTCTTTAATTTGCTCACACATTGATGCTTAACATGCTCCATCTTAGCCTGTGGCACAGGTTGCAATGTAAGACAAGCTCTTCCTGTGTGCCCCCTTCACTGGTCTTGAGAGTTAGAGGACACTACCATAGATTTTGGGGGATAATTCATGTTTACCCAGGGGAATTGGGTATCCTAATGACCTTAAAAGTGATTAAGCCCATTCTTCTCCATTCAGGACTGAGGGCCCTAGATGCACTGCTATAGTCCTAAAGCACAGGTGTGACCAAGTCATGCTTCTGCTCCCAAAGTCCCAGTGACTGACTCCTTACTGCCTCTCTGTTCCTGGCTTTCTGCCCATAACATTCTCTCTTCTGCCCCTGTACTATTTGTTCCCATTCCCTTCTCCCCTCCACCTCTTCCTCAAGGCTCAGCTACAAGCAGCTGATGGCACTATGGAATGAACAGTGAGCGTGCAGTCAGGAGCACCTGAGTTCCAGTCCAACCTCACTTACTAGCCAGGTGACACAGGGCTCCCTTTATCTCTGTTTGCCTCAGTTTCCTCATCTGTAAAATGGAGATTAATAACAACCCTTACCTCCCAGGGTAGTTGTGAGGCTCCAATAAGATAGTATTTGTAAAGCACTCAGCACAGTGCCTAGCACACAGTAGGTGCTTAATAAATGCTCTCCCCCCTTTAAATGTCACCTGCTATACAAGGACTATCATATTAGGATTTTCCTACTGGCTAGTGCTCAGCACCTCTCTCCAAAGTGCTTTGTACATACTTCTTACATATTGCTTTCTACCAATGCATGAATGCCAACTCCTGGAGGCCAGGAGGCCTAGGGGTACCCAGTAAATGTTTAGTAAATGCTTGTGGAATGAATGAAGGAATGAAGGAATGAAGGAATGAATGAATGAAAGAGCTTTGAAAGAAGTCTTAGCTGTGGCAGCTGGGGTCGAATAAATGTGTAGAGACCTTTTCGAGCTGCATTTTGCAATAGATTCCTTACATGGTTTCTTCATTTGGCTTTTGTCCCATTCTTCCTTCCCAAATTCCAAAGCTTCAGCCATTAGTTTGCTTGGATCCGTTTCTTGGGGAGCTCTTTTCTTAGCACAACTGTAAGGGCCACCCAAGTTAGGGGTCATTAATGCTAATTTGATGGGAGTGCTAAGGGCTCCTTGGAAATATCAACGATTCTGAGACTTTCCTAGTTTCTCTGACTCCTTGTTGAAATGACTCAACTTATGCAGTCCAGGTTCCTCCAAATAACCAAGATCCAGGGGCAGATCCAGAGAAGTTCTGGAGGTAAAGAGAGATTAGGGAGGTAAACCTTCTCAGACTATGAAGATAAGGCTGAAACAGGAGATAATCTAGAAAATATAATAGAAAAAGGGATCCCAGGGTAGACTGCTATCTTCAGGAAGTTCTACACATGCAAGGAAGGAGAGGAAGACAACAGCATGTGTTGTAGGTGCAGCAGAAAGATTGGCTCTGGAGTTAATGGTCCAGGGTGAAAAGCCTGCCCAGGAACCTCAGGTCACATGTACAAAAAACATGTACACCTGCCTGACTACCTGCCTTCCCTTGGGACTCTGAGCTTCACTGTCCCCTCATTTGTAAGGGAAATGATCATCTCCTAGGCCCCTTCCAACTCCAAACCTTTGAGCCTATCAATAGCAAAAGAAAGGACAGTCAGGGAGATGATTTCTCAATGTAGAGAGCATCCCCATGGACTTGCCAGGGAGTCTATGAAATTAGACTACAACAGACCATAGTGCTTTAAAATTTTCCAAAGTACTTTTCTAAGGATGGCAAGATGAGCTCTGTAGGGAGGATTCATCTCCGAACCCCAGCTCATCCATTAACTTGATCCACACTGACTATGAAACCTGGGCGAATGTGTTTGTCTGTCTTGGTCATCCCCTACCCCATCCCACCCCTCCTCTTCCCTCCCTTTCTCCCTTCCCTCCCCCCAACCCCAAGCTCTTCCCTCTTCTCCTACCCTTCCTTCCATTAGGGAACTTTCCAAGACTATATAAATTGCTGAGAAGATGCAGACCCTGCATCTGGTAGGAGTCTCCTGCCCCTAAACCTATGTGCAGGGCAGTGTGGTAGGGCCCTAGGAAGAGAAAATCAAGGCTCATGCTAGCAGGAGACTCCAAATCTTCTTTTGCGCAGGACCTCCTGGTTAATAGCTCAGAAAGGACTTGGCTGGGTCATCTAGAGTTGAGTTTATTTCATCAGTCATTTCCATAATAATAATGACGGCTAGCATTTGTGTGCCACCCACCCTGTGGCCAGGCTGATCTCCTTTGATAATAATATTGGGGCACTGGGATGGGGTAGAGGAGATCCCAGGTACTCTTGGAGGTCCTTGATGGGAGGGGCCCTGAGAGAGGCTCTCATCTCTGGCTGTTGTTTTTCTCTCTTTACTCAGAAAGGGTTTGAAAACTCAACCCCTCAGGGAAAATGTCCTGGATTAAAGAGAAAACTGATGAATTTCCTAATTCATCATACTTGGTTGGTTTCCTCTATAATATCCCAGTTCTCTCTCTCCAACTTTTCTAGCACTGTATTCCTCGGGTTTCCATCCTGTCTTTACGGTCCATTTTGGTCTCTTCCAGTTTGAGTCAAATCGACCCGTCCTCGGCTCTGTCCTAAGGAACTCTTCCAGCCCCACTCAGGGATCTATAGCCGCAGCCCTCTGGGTTTAAGTACCACCACCACCCCGAAGGCGATTCTCGGGCTCGGATCCCGCAGAGCCCCCCAAGGCAGCCCAGGCACCTGAATACCCAGGGAAAGTGGGTCTCCTCCCACTCCAGCAGACAGTGAGCCTGGCTGCTTGTGCAGCCGCGAAATCACCCTCCGAGGCGACCCCTGAGCACAGGCCTCAGAACCTGGGACGCCTCCGTCGGCTGCATGCACCCAGCAGCACTTCCTAGCCTACCACCATCATCACCGGCCCCCCTACCCCTAGGCCTTTGCACAGGCCGGCCCCCACGCCTGAAGTGCCGTCCTTCCTCCCCTCAGAGGCCTTTCTAGATTCCCAGCTCCCTCCAAAGCGCGGCCCCAGCGCCCCCGCCCCCACCCCACCCCCGACTTCCCGGGAGCTGGTCCCCTCCTACCTGCCACCCTCATGGCTCCGTGGGTGTGTGAGTGTGCGTGCGTGTGTCAGAGAGAGAGAGAGAGAGAGAGGGAGAGAGAGAGAGAGAGAGAGAGAGAGAGAGAGAGAGAGAGAGAGAGAGAGAGTGTGTGTGTGTGTGTGTGTGTGTGTGTGTGTGTGTGTGTGTGTGTGTGTGTGTGTGTGTGTGTCTCTCTCTCTCTCTGTCTCTGTCTTGTGTGCGCATGCGCGGTCGGTCACAACAGCGACTAAAGTCCCTACAGAGAGCGGGGAAGGGGGAAGGGGCGGGCCCAGAGACCACGGTGCGGCCCGCCTGGACGCGGCCTGGCCCGGCCTGAGGGTGGGAAAGCGGCCCACAGAGAACGGGAGAGAGGCGGGAGAGCCGGAACATCCTCCCCGCCCACTCGGGCGAAGCATGGAGACCACCCCAGAACGAGGCTAGCGCTCCGTCCGCACTCACGCACGCACGCCGAGCGGACGTGACGTGCGCAGGCTTCGTGGCCCAGCTGTCACTGCCACACCTCCCCCCCTTCCCGCCACCGCCCATTACCCTCAAGCGCCTTCTGTTTGTCAGGCCCTGGTGCTCCGTCAGCGGCCACGGTTTTAGGCTCCGAGGAGCTCCCCCATCCTCACACTCGGGATCAGACCTAACCCTGCAGTTAGGCTGCCGATGGCTCATAGAATGGCTTGCTCCAATGCTCCGAACTCGGTGGCCCAACGGTGGGCTCCCTCCCCCTTTCTCATTATTAGTTGCAGGTAACACCTTTCAGATTGATTAAGGGCCTACCATGTGCCAGGCACGGAGCTAAACACTATAAATATCATCTCACTTGATCCTTACAACCCTGGGAGGTAGGTGCTATTATTGATGGGGTGCTTGTGTTTATACTTGGACCCCAATTTCTCCCTAGTCTCAGAAACACTCTCTGACAACTCCTCCCCAGCCCAAGGACACTGTGCCTAGCAGTTATTCATGCGTGGGCCCCTGGGCCCCGGCAAGACCCTTATCTCTCTCCCTGGTGCAGCTACACAAAGCTGGGTGAGAGAGTGCTGGGCTGCTCAGGCCCCAGCCCTCAGATTATGTCTCTGGAAGCCTCCCAACTCGTTAGTAAGCTCCTGTCTTGTGAGAAAGCTTTCCCTTGTTGCAGAGCATTCTCTCATCAAGACAGAGGGAGAGGGGTGCCTTGCCCAGCCCAAGGAGTTTGGTCCTTGGCCGGCCCAAGGACTCTTCCTCCTACCAGACTCCCAAGAGCCATGCCTCTGTCATCTCCCTCCCTGTCTGGTATACTCCCTGTGCTTTCTCATCCATAGCTCCCAAAGATACCTGGAACTTTAGATTACCTCATCAGTATCCCTGGCATTCCTTTTCCATATAAACCCTAGCTCCATCTGTTGCGGTGTAAGAGGTTGAGAGGTTGTGACCCCTCAAAGACCGGTGTATAGGACGGGTTGTCTGGAATAAATTCACAGACTCAAGCATTCTTTAATCCAAGGTGGCAAAGTTTATTGTTACGCTTTTCAGCGGGCAAGGATTCTTAAAGGATCCTGCAAGAGACTGAGAATGCAGCTAGGGTTTATATGGAAAAGAGCATGGGAAAGAAATGCCAGGAACACTGATGAGGTAATCCAAAGGTGCAGGTGTCTTTGGGGGCTATGGATGGGAAAGTACAGGGAGTTAACTGGACAGGAAGGGGGATGGATCTTTGAAGTCTGGCAAGATGAAGAGTTCTTGGGCAGGTCAAGGATACCCCTTTCCCTCTGTCTTCATGAGAAAATGCTCTGCAACAGAGGAAAGCTTTCTCACAACTAAAAAATTGGGAGGCTTCCAGATACATGATCTGGGGGCTGGGGCCTGAGCATCCCAGATAAGGGTCGTGCTGAGGCCCATGTATGAATAACTGCTAGGCACGGTGTCCTTGGGCTGGGGAGTGGTTGTCAGAGGCAGTGTTTCTGGGACTTGGAAGGAATTGGGGTTCAAATACAAGCACAAGCACCCAAGCACCCCATCACATCCTCAGTCTTTTGCAGGTTCCTTAAGAATCCTTGCTTGCTGAAAAGTGTAATAATGAATCTTTGCCACCTTGACTTAAAGAATGCTTGATTGTGTGAATTCATTCCAGATGACCCATCCTATACTCCAGTCTTTGAGGGGTCTCAACCTCTCAGACCTCAACATTATGATCCCTATTTTGTGGAGAAACTGAAGTGAAGTGACTTGCCCAGGGACACACAACTAGTAAATGTTGGAGGACAGATAGATATGCAGTGATTTGCATCGAGTCAGCTGACTCCAGGCCCAGCACTCTATCCAGTGCACCACCTAGCTGCCCATGAAGGGGATAGGTAGTGTTTATTTCCTCTTTATCTTTTCATTTTCTTTTTTTTTTTCAGGCTAGGCAATGGGGTTAAGTGACTTGCCCACGGTCACACAGTTAGTGATTTGGACTCAGGTCCTCCTGACTCCAGGGTGGGTGCCCTATCCACTGCACCACTTGGCTGCCCCTTTATCTTTTCATTTTCAAAAAAAAAAATCATGACTTAAAAGTTTCTTGACAACTCATTAAAACAATTCTATATGTGAAAGTCTTAATCCAATTTGAGACTTTATAAACACTTACTAAAACATATCCAAAGATAATAACTAAAATACATTCAAAGCCTATGTATTTAGACATTTGTATGGATTGATATAAGCATCTGTGAATATTCCGCTAGATTTGAAAGAAGTTCATTAGTTCCCCATTACTTGATCTTTTCCTTTGTTTTTCACTGGCATGACAGAAGTTCTAAGGCCACTAATATAATTTCAGCTATCATGAATCCTTTAAACATATTCTTTTTCAAGGATATGAGTAGACAGTTTTCAGATAAAGAAATTAAAGCCATCTATAGTCATATGAAAAAATGCTCCAAATCACTATTGATTAGAGAAATGCAAATCAAAACAACTCTGAGGTACCACATCACACCTATCAGATTGGCCAACATGACAAAACAGTAAAATAATAAATGTTGGAGAAGATGTGGGAAAATTGGAACACTAATGCATTGTTGGTGGAGTTGTGAAATGATCCAACCATTTTGGAAAGCAATTTGGAACTATGCCCAAAGGGCTATAAAAACGTACGTACCCTTTGACCCAGCAATAGCACTTTTAGGGCTGTATCCCAAAGAGATCATATAAATGGGAAAAGGACCCACATGTACAAAAATATTTCTAGCAACTCTTTTTGTGGTGGCAAAGAATTGGAAATTGAGGGAATGCCCAGCGATTGGGGAATGGCTGAAGAAGTTGTGGTATATAAATGTAATGGAATACTATTGCGCTATAAGAAATGATGAGCAGTCAGACTTCAGAAAAACCTGGAAAGACTTGTATGGACTGATGCTGAGTGAAGTGAGCAGATCCAGGAGAACATTATACACAGTAACAGCCATGTTCTTTGATGACTAACATTGATATATTTAGCCCTTCTCAGCAATGCAAGTATCTAAGACATCTCCAAAGCTCTCATGATGGAAAATGCTATCCACAAAGAAGAAAGAACTATGGAGTTTGAATGCAGATTGAAGCATACTATTTGCTATTTTTTTCTTCAGTTTTGTTTTCTTTCTTGTGATTCCTCCTATTGATTCTAATTCTTCCTTATAACATCATTAATGTGAAAATATGTTTAATAGGAATGTATATGTATAGCCTTTATCAGATTTCATGCCATCTTGGGGAGGGAGGTGGAGAAAAATTTAAAACAAAAAAGTTTATGGAAATGATTGTTGATAAATCAAAATAAATTAATTAAAAATATTATTTTTCCCATTGAAAACATTTGAAAGCCACCACATGTATCCTAGTTCATAAGTGGAAACAGTCTGATCTTATTGCTTTTCCCAAAGTGAAGTTTACTAATTCATTAAAAATTTAAAGTTTTCCATCATGTTATGTCTTTATCCTTCTCCCACTGCCCAGGATATATGTTATCATCACATCATTCCAAAAAGATATGATGTTGTATGAACCTAATCTTATACAATCATATATAACTATTGGTTGTATGAACCTGATCTTATACAATCATATATAACTATTAAACCAGTGAGCAAGGAGATGACAAGTCTAAGAACTGATTTCCCCTAATTGCCTAGTTTAGGAAGTTGAGACAAGTAATGATTACAAATTCAGAACAGCAAAATCAAAGCAATAGCATTCTTTATATTTGTATTCCAATTTAGCAGTTCAGGGATGCTTAATGATTGTAACAATAAGATCAATTGTAAAACATTTACAATTTTCTTGCCATGTCCAGGGAAACTTGCCATTAAAGGAGGATGAAGGATATGGTTATAAAAATAGCAAGTCAAGACTCTTCTCTCAGGCCTAAGCCTAAAGTCACAGATTGACCTATCATAGCTAGAACAGAGGAAGACTCCCTTAGCACTGTTTCATTTCAAATCAAAGCCATAGATAACTTTTGGAACAGCCAATCATGCAACAGAGTTTCAAATTATTCACAGGGTGTCATAGCCAGGTTCGGAATCAACCAGGTGGGCTTAGAAAGGAAATAGCACAGTGGGGAAACTGAGTCAAAAGGAGCCTGTCATTACTTTCCTAAGGCTGTCTTCTCAATCTTTCCAGTCTTCTACATACACCACTAGTATTTTCCAGAAGACACCCTCTCTGAGCAGCTCTTGGCATTTCTCTTGAATGGTGGAGTACTGGCTTAACAACAATCAATCAGTTCTGCCTGAATAAAAAACTCAGAGCAAATAAAATTACAGTTCTACCTCACTTAGCAAGTTCTGCTGCTTACAGTTTAAAGCAGGGTTCAGTTGTTTTTTGTGTTGTATTAAAAAAAAACATTTATTAACAGTATATTTAAGTACATTAAGTACATACAAAATTTTTCCAAAAGGATCCAGCCCTTAAACAGTTCATCAGGATATAAAGTTAGGTTGATATGAGCCTGCTTATCTGCTAAATAAATTGGAACAGTATCAAACCTGCAGATGAAGGTATATTCCTGGAGTACGCAGAGAGGGTTCCGGGAGCTGTTTAAGAGTGCTTGAACTTGCAAGGACCAGGGGTCTAAGTGGTTACCTGCAGGGAGGAACCCTGGTTGAGACA